TTTGAGTATTAACTCTATTCTGATTGGGACAACATATTTCATTTAGGCACCTTGTATCCATTGAGTTTGTAATAGTTATTTTTAAGTGGTATTATAGTTAAGTTTAGGCTGTATTTTGTCTTCTCAACTAATTGCCAATAGGATTTAGGTTGGATGTTTAATACGATATTAGAGCTTTTCGTAGTGTTATACTCATAATCCCTAAATGCTAGAGCAATTGTTCTCTTTCTCTCTCTGTCTTTTTTTTTTTTTTTCAAAATTGTGTAGCTAAACTAATTTATCTGAAAGTGGGACACACATTGTGCACGAGTTTTTAAATTGGGACATCAATCATGGAATTTTCACCTGATTTGTTCAATGAGAAATATATTTCTCTTTTTCCAAATGTAGCCAAAAAAAATTAATACTTAAAATCTGGTTCCTAACACTTACGGTTTAAGGTCAGTTAGAGTATGGGTTCTATGTTCATAATCGGGCTTTGCTATATGAAACTGTGGTTACAAAGTTCTTGATAGCTATGCATCAGATACCTTTTATCACCTTTTAGATTCATGCGGGAACAACAATATTTTGCATTGACTTTTAGGTCCATGCTATCTGCACACTTTGGATGAATTTGCCATTAAGCATATAAATATTGCATATAGCATGTTTAAGATGGTCAAAGATATAGAATGAGAAAAAAAGGGACAAGCTTTGATTATGTTTGAACCGTATGCCATAGTGTTATGGTAATCAATGTCATGACTTAAAATTCTTTTCTGACAGATAGAATAGCTTCTTTTTCTTTTGCTCAGCAGGTATTATAGCTTCTAACTAAAAATGTGAATCCTTTTGGATTATGTATATCAAATAAATTTTGTAACCACATTTGTTTCAATTTTGAGGGCACTGGTGCAGCCTCAAATATTTAGGAAGCTACGAGCTTATCTGACCTCAATGTGGAACCCCAGAAATAAAGGAGCATATCCCAGACGAATATCTGCAAAAGCCAGGGGGTCCTCTGTACAGGAAAACAATTCGGCGCATGAAGATGAAGCTTCTATGAGTGATGAAGATATTACTACCATAAAGGTAAGTATATAGGACAAATGGTGCTGTGTCTATATTCTAGTTATATTCTTTTTGGTTGGTTTAAGGCTTGCTTTGATGTATTAGGATTTTGCCAATTTTAATGACTACTTGCTAATATCGGAAAGTTTTAATGCATAATGTTGAGAAATCCTGTCTTCCTGCCGGAAAATTAACAAAGGATGAAAATTTCAGGAAGACAGGTTGCTTCAGCCTTCCTTTAATAGACTAAATAAAAGTTTTCTTCCTAGTGAACCTTGGATAGTGTTAATAAAAAAATCACCTGATATGCTGTCATTGGGCACCTTCAACACATGATCTTGGAAGATGTCTCAACTTACATTGTAATTATATAGGAGTGCATATTGACCACCGAACAACATAGCTTGCTTCAATTCTTTAGTAAAAGACATTTGGTCGATGAATGTAGTGCAAGAGCTTTATTCTGTTGTCATGAATTTCTATCCAAACTAGCATGTCAAATACCATGTGATGGTTGCGATCTGTAGTTACTGTTATTTTCGGTCAGATTGCTCTGGTTGTGCTTTACTGCATATTTTGAAGTGGTTCATGCTCTTCCTTGACTATTTTTGAAACCGTTTGTTTCTTCAAATAAAATTCGAGGAGCAAATTGGCTTTCATGCTTTAGCCTTCTTGAAAATAATAGGACAATAATGAAAGAAATTCCAAGTTAAAAAAGTCATAACTGAGTAGGATCCACCCCCTACTCTCATTATATTATATTATGAAATTAGATTAGTTTTGAGGAATTTTCCTTTTCAAAAGAGTACCAAACAGTCTTTATTAGTTTATAGTATATTATATTATGAAATAAGATTAGTTTTGAGGAATTTTCCTTTTCAAAAGAGTACCAGACAGTCTTAATTTCCTATCAGTTAGATGCACTGATTAGCTCTAAATATAATTCCAGCGTTTTTAATCCATGTAATAATAATTGTGGCAACATATGTGCACATATCTGGAAGTTTGTATGCTGAAGAACAAAAGGGTTAGAGGTTTTTGGGTCCGTAGGTAGACAAACAAGTTTTAAATGTAGCATTCAACAGAAACCTTAAATTTGAGTAATTAGTTCCAGTTGTTTTATATATGCAGGATCTTTTGGATGCAGTGGTTCATTTTGACATCTTATTGGATCGGAGAAAACATACCAATTTTCTTGATAATCTTGGAAGAAGTTCGGAGATGGAACCAAAACTGAAGGTTGTGCAGGATGCTGGAATTGTGCTGGTATCTCTTGTTTGCAAGGAGGCACTTGAGAGGGAGCCATTCATATCAATTTCGTATGTTTTGCTCACTTATAATCAGTTGCTGCTGCTTATTTCTATTAAAACTATTTTGGTTTGATTTATTAGTTTTAACTCCTGTACTTGTAAGAGCAACTATTGTTAGTTTGGTCACATCTTGTAGGTGCTTTCTCATCCTCTCCTCTTTTGCAGTGCAGTTATGTTCCAGGGATGGAGGTTACTTTATCTAGCTGATTAAAATGTTTGTACTTTGTATGGTATCTACAGCAAGGTATGAGTAACAATTAATGTATGTGTATCAACTTTTGGATGCTTTGCTTCTTAGCTGTAAAATATTATAATTGTGCTTGTTGTTAGAGCCAAATGCAGTCAAAGCCCCTTCCTTTGCCATTGTTCAAAATTCTTCTTGTTCTCCATGCATAATTAACAGTACTGTGAAGGTATACGACAGTGATTATTTTGTAACTGCAGCTCGCAGCTGTTGTAGAGTTAATTTCACCACATGTTTCAAAGAGATATCTAAGAATCAACCATGAACTCGAATTCTAATGTACGGCTGAAAATTTATCAACATGCCAGATCCATATAAGAGATTTTCTGTACTGAAAATCCTTTTGTTGCATTGTATCCTTGAAGCATTTAACTTAGACTTTTAGAAGACGCAATATCAGTCATGCCGAAATTAAAATGTGATTCTAAAATCTTTTAGTAAAAAATGAGCAAGCAAGCTGACCTTTATTTTGTTGGGAAAGCCTTTACAATGTCCTGCTGATAATGAAGTTCTTGTTCTTGTCTGTAGATGAAAAGGAAAGATGTTGGCATCAATAAAATATATGATGCATGTGCACTGAGGGTAGTTTTTGGAGACAAGAGCGGAACCCTAAATGGTCCTGCAGTTTAATGTTGCTACAGTCTTCTCAACATTGTATGCAGGTATTTCAAAGTGTTTCTTCTATTCATTTCATAGATCTTCTCAATCTTTAGCATGGATTTTTGGAATTACTTTTAGTTGATGCATCGTATTTTATAGAAAAGTATGTGTAGTAGAAGAAACGAAAATAGATGTTTTTACTTTCTTTATAGGTTTATTTTTGTGGATAATTTCTTTGGCCTGTGGTAGCCTTATTTAATAGGAATGTATAAGTTCTCAATTTTACCAGAATTCATAAAGCCATACTTCTCAAACATGCTCAATTTCCTTTTTAAAAGAAACTATTATGAGTCACATCACCCATCTTTCTTTGCAGGCTTTGGACTCGAATTGACGGTGAATTTGATGATTTCATTGTTAACCCAAAGTCCAGTGGCTATCAGGTAATATTTTGCAATTATTCATTGATTTATTGCAGAAATGGTATATCAACATTCGTCCTGCAAATATAGGCCAAACATGCATATAACATGCTGCATCATATATGGCCAGCTAATATGTAATAAGTTTCTACCTTTGAATATTCCACTCTCGACAGTAGGTGGAAAATTATTTGTGAGAACTAATATCTTTTTGACTAAATCTCTTAAAGTGAGTTTTAAGAACATTTGAAAGTTTGTGATCTGGATGGTTTGTTAATATCAATTTTGCACCAGAAATCCAATGTAAAAGTTTAAAATAGATCATTAACTGTATTAAGCTGCATTAACTGTTTAGAATACCTATGTGGTTCTTTGAATTTTTAGCGTCCTCCATACTTCTTTGGCAAAGTACCGCATCAAATTTCCCGACTTAGTGAGACTTTGCTCTAAATAATGGATCTTTTATTGTACATGTTATGAAATTGGCTGAATAGGTTTCTACCATGAGAGTTCAAATAAACCGGCAGGTAATGCTGGAAGAAGCTGTTCACTTACTGGAGTTTTAAATATCAAACTTTGCTGTTATTAATTAATTTCAAAAAGTTCTAAATGTAATAATTAATTTAAAAAACTAATAAATGTAATTGTTATGTTAATCATAATTATATTAATCCTAATAAGAAAAGGAATATCTTTAGCTTACAATTAATAAAGCTCAGACAGATGTGAGTTGATTCCCATCTTTCAAAGGCCTTCTGAATCTACGGATTTGGAGGCTGGGACAAAAACTAGAGTATATATGTTAGAACTCCTTATATTACCGTAGGTTTACAAGTAATTAATTGTTATAACTCAGTAAATTACCGTAGGTAATTGTTGGTAAGCATCACAAGTAGACACTAGAGTAGATACTATGAATAGGAGGCTAACCTTGTTAGCTCATAAGTCAGTTGACGACAGATAAGGAAAGGGGGATTCTCTTTCAACTAGAGGAGCTGGCTAGAAACAAGGGTGTTATACTTATTTCTACAGTAATTACAAATTTAAATCCAAAAAGAATTCTAATTAGCTGTCAAAATTCCAATAATAACCTCACATACTTACATAATCTTTTATATATATATATATATATATTAATAATACTTACTGCTACTGCTTTATTATTATATTGATGAGTGGAATTAATTAAGAGAGCAAAGGAGACATCGACGCTATTCTATTTTTAAGAAGAAAAGCTATTTATTATATATCTTTTTATTTATTAGGTATGATCACTATCAACCTTTTTTTTTTTTTTTGTGCTTGATTTACAATGTTGGGAAGTGGAATTAATGTTATTCTTCTTTTCATCTCAATTGATAAAAGAAGAAAACAAAACTTATATCTTGTTTTTATGTTTCTTTAGAAGCTTATGCTTGGTATAGTTTTGGGTTTTGGATTACGTTTAGGGTTTAGAGTTTATGGTTTTTAGGGTTAAGCTTTTAGGGCTTTTTTGTTAATTTCTCAGTTTTTGTAAATGTCACAGTAACTATGGAAAACAAAGATTTGATACCATTCGAAGAGCATCAAGTGGACAAACCTTGCCAATTGGGTTATATGAACATGGAAGCAATAGTTGAGGTTGATAATGAACGACCGCCGTATTCTCTTCCTCCCCACATATCTCAACCTTACCCTTGGCTTGTTATATCTCATGGAGAGTTTGATCAAAGGCAAACCTTCTTCAGCATATCACAATATCAGTATTACACTAAAATCATTCCTGAGATGCGTAATAAACAAGTATGTTGCTCTTCTTTTGGATGGTTAGTGTTATTAGATCTTGTCTCATTTGATTGTTCTCTTTTAAATCTCATTTCGATGAAGACAATTCAACTTCCTCCTTTTAATATGAAATTCGATACGTGCATTCTCACGGCACTTCCAAGTGATCCAAATTGTCGCATCCTTTTCTTCAATCTCGTAGAGGATGAATTTATATTTTGTTCTCCTGATGATTGTGAATTTTCAAAACAAAAGTTGGAAGACGATGATGTGATTAGTGTGACAACATTTGGAGGAAAGACTTATTGCATTTCTTCAGAATATTGTTTGCTTACAATTGAGTTTGAAGGATCAAGTCTTCGATTTACAAAATTAACTGTCCAAAAAACAGAATCCAAACTGTTTAATTTTACCATTCAACACAAAAACTATTTGGTTGAGTTTTTGGAGAGATGCTACTTGTTTGTAAGATTTACTCTCCAAGATTGTGTGAATGGGCTTCATATTTTGAAGTTTTTAGGTTTGATTTCTATAAAAGGGAATGGATTGAAGTGAAAAGCATTGGAAATAATGCAATTTTCCTCACAGATCAATGTTACGGCTCATGTTCCTCAGTAGCTGAAGAATCTGATATAAGAAGAAACTCCATTTACTATACTCAATATGAAGATAGAAACCTTTATGTCTATGATTTGGAAGATCGAAGTGTTACAACATCTTTGCCTTGTCCCATAGTCAGTCGTCGAAAATCATCTTATTATTGGAGTATGTTACCAATGACAAATAACTCTTAAGATTTAATTTTTCTTTTTAGAAAAAAAATTGTTATGTAGTTGTTTTCTTTCTTTTTTTTTTCTTTAATTTTTTATTTAGTTTAATAAAATTATGGTTGGTTGATTTTTAATTAACTTTTCTTTATCCTTGTATTCCAATAAATTAATGCATTTACTTAATTTTAATCTATTTTTTTTTCTGGTATTTGAGATTACAAATTATTGAACTATGATCATTAAAATTAAAAGTATAATATTCGATTAAAAGATTACACTATTGTAGGCACTTTTGATTTAATGATTTGTGAATAAAATGTACAAAAAAAAAAAATGGTTCAGTTTTGACCTATTTTCTTCGCAGCAGTTAATAGCATGTATAAATGTTTTATGATGAGTTTATCTTGATGTTGATGTAAAGTTTCTTGGAATTCTTTCTTAGCATATCATTCAAGAGATTCTTAAGGGTATGTTTCTTATTGAATCATGGTAAGGTTTTCTTTGATTCACTTAAAAAAAAATTAATTTGTTGGTCCTTTATTGTTGCCTTGCAGATGGGTGAATGCAATGTAATTTGGTTTGACTATTAGTTGGGTCCATTGATATCAAATTTGTTAATATATTTACGAACATCTCATTATCACGTGGTTCCATCCTGCTTGGACCAACTTGAAAGTCGTTAACTGATTTAGATTTCATGGTCTGAACCCGCTCACAACCAAGCTGAGAACAAGACCTTGAAAGATTTTAAATTACTCCATGGTCATCCACAGAAGTTTAAACATCTAATATTTCTCTTTTTGGCATGCTAGTCTTAGTCTTTGCATAAGCATTTAAGTTTACCTTTTTCGGATGAGACTCCTTCCTGGAATGTCTGCTTTTTTCTGGTTTTGAGGTTGTATTAACTTTTCTTTTCAACTTTCTTTTAAGCAATGGATCATCTTTTAAAGTAACATCAAACTATGAGCAGCAAATGGGATTTATTCTATTCAACTCAGTGTTGCATTTCTCTACAGCATTCTTCTGAACCCTTTGCCAAACAAAATGACTGTTCTCTGTTCCCATTCAAATATGCAAGTTCCCTATACTTCCAAGTTTGCAAGTACTTTAACTCCTATGAATAGATTTACACTGCTTACCCCTCTTGCCTTGTGCAACCATTCGCCCATCAAAGCTGCGCTACAAGCCAGACCATGCTTGGTTCCCTCAGTAAAATCACGGGTTTCTGAAATGCTACATAATGTGTTTTGACAATAGGACCCCTTCTTGGTATTGGAACCTAGTAAATCTGATTGACAGGTTTCATTGCTGTTGTCGTTAAATGGATTAACAATATGACCAGCACTGATGCCGTCTTCACTGTTTGAACCAACAGAAACTGAGTCCAACACTAGGAAATCATGCATATCATAGAAATCCTTCTCATGTAAATCTATAAGAAAACCCATATGTGAAGGATGTCTCCTCTCCACCCATAGAAAGTCGCTGGTCTTCGCTACCAATTTTAGAATTATCTGTATGATGCTCCCTAGGAAACTTCTGAACTTGAGAAGGTACAATACATTCAGGTATATCCACTTCATCAATGTCAGATGTGTATATATTTGGTGATTGAAAACTTGTAACAATACCATTGCTGCTGTCTGCAAAATCAGTTATATTAAGCAAACCATCGGATGGTGAAACTTCTAGTGAAGTTGCAAGTGATCCAGAGTTCATGTCATTGTTACCACAAATTTCGGATGCTGAACTTCCATGGATATACTCTAGCAAACTCTCTGGAGCCAACATCACACAAATGAATTTTTATGTTTTCCCTTCCTTCTTGTCTTCTTTCATGAATTTCTCTTTGTAGGCTTGTCTTCTTCACCATAATTGATGAACATAGCAGATGGATTAGTAGCATTAGATCCTTTTGACATAATAGCAGAGGAATCGTTGCGAGTAATGGAGCTATAACGGGAAGAATTGTTGGACACTTCATTCAATTTAGTTATTTTATTTGCAACGGTCCTGTTGCGAAATTGATGTTGCACATTGGATCCAGCAATGCTTCTGGCTCTAAAAGGATTGCAGAAAAAGTAATCTGAGGTTTGAAGCCCTTTCTGTGTCTTCCATCCATCACCTTAAAAGGAATTAATGGACGGGGAGAGGCCAGATGCAGGCCTTTCACATCGCCTGAGTTCCAGATCCAAAGTGATCAAAATATTGCCAGGTTAAAATTTACTCAAGCCAATCACATAGCTAAAAGAGAATGAACTCAACTATTTAATATTGGGCAAAGAATAGGAAAGTTCTAACCTTGATGATCTTCTACAATCATTCAGCTGCAAAGAATTCTTGGAGCGGTTAGCCTTCCTACCCCCGACATTTTTTATTATTTAGATAAGTTCATCAAACATGACAAGGCATCTTTTGCTGTATCTGTCCAAGTCAATAGCATAAACATGTGAGTGGGTAACTTTACGAAGAGCTCATGAAGATTTACTCGATTCAAAAACCAAATTTGAAATCAAAACTTTTCCACTGTAATTACAGCAAGAACAACTGTTTATACAAACTAATAGGTAAAAAAAAAATGACAGCCAACAAATTTCAGTAAATGAAAATCCTTAAGAAATGCCCAGATGCAGCAACTAATCTATTCCAATCCAAAATAGATAGAAAAATATATAGAACTTAAGAATAGAGTACAAGAGAATTGCATGAACGAACTAATTTTAACAAAGAGGGCAGTTGAAAAAGATGTTTTACAGCCATTCCAAGAACTAACTACTACTATCAAATAAACAAGTAACGTCACAAAGTTTAAGCCATTATTAATTATCAACTTCTTTTAACGGAAAAGAAATAGAAGATAATCGGTTCAGTAGGTTGAGATTATATTTCTCAAGGAAAGTTTTAAACCATTTCAATATCTATCCCAAATAGTGAAACTAATTTCCTTTCAAACCACTTCGCACTTGAAGTTCTCATAGCATAGATTCTGGGCTCCATTGAATCATTACTTGATGGTGTGTGTCCATTCAATGCCCATGGTAAACATTATCCACTTAACAAGTAAACTAATAAAATACTAGATTGGAACAGGAAAAAAATTGCAATGTTAACCAAGGGCAGTAGCTCAACTGAATCGACACAAATAAGTATAATTGAAAGAAAAAAGGGCCACATAAATCAGACAGCATGAAACAAACATCACATTCACACTTGTAGGAAAGCTAAAACAAAGAACCAATATCTTTAGTTGACTATGGCAAATCAAATAATCAGGGAAAAGAAAATCCAATATGAAACCAATTAATTTTGAACAAAGATCTCAACACAATTAAAATCAATCACATCACTTGGCTTTGTGCAAGAGAAGAATCTGGAAATAGAACAGCCATTACCTGGAAGGTGCCTTTCTCTACAGAATCATATACCACGTCAATCCCACTGCAGCATAAACAAGAACTGTGAGTCCAGTTTCAACCTGTATTGCATGATATTGTATTACAACTTTTGTTAATATAATCAAAACTCCGCCTCCAAACTAAAAGATCAAGGAAAGAGGATCAATCTCATAATTATGACACAACTTGTATCCACAGGACTGATAGAAAGAAAAACAAACAAACAAAAACAGAGGATACTCTTTGATTATTGTAACCAATCAAAGTTCTCTTATATTGCAGATCTGACTCTGCCAAACTCTGTTTTTGATGATTTTATTGTTTTGATTGATCTGCGCCATTGCAAACATATCTAAGCGGCCTGACGAAGATTTGGAAACTGAAAGGATAACCATGGGATCACTAAGAGGATGGATGACAATGAGTTATTGCCATATAATTTTAAATAACATCATTCATATTTTGGTTAATGTTGTAGTCCTTAAAAATTTAGTACTACATTTATTTTACTCTTTCTTATTTCATTATTAGCTGCTATACCAACATACTTTAAAATGTTACACAAAATTTTTATCTGACTGGTATTATAATATTTGCAAGCCAAATTAAAATATATGAAATATTAATCAAAATCCCTTCGGAAAATATATTCCAACAAAAAACATTTATTAAGAATATTAAAGAAAGAAATAATTTTGGCCTTTGGGTTACTTTTCCTTATGAAAATTTAAATCCAAAAAGAATTCTAATTAGCTGTCGAAATTCCAACAATAACCTCACATACTTACATAATCTAATTTTTTATATATATATATATATATATATATATTACCCAGTGCTGTTGTTTTCTTTTTATATTGATGAGTGAAATTAATAAAGAGAGCAAAGGAGACATTGAAGCTATTCTGTTTTTAAGAAGAAAAGCTATTTATTATATATCTTTTTTTTTTTAGGTATGATCACAATCAACCCTAATTTTTTTTTTGTGCTTGATTTACAATTTTGGGAAGTGGAATTAATGCTTTTCTTCTTTCGTCTGGATTGATAAAAGAAGAAAATAAAACTTATATCTCGTTTTTATGTTTCTTTAAAAGTTTATGCTTGATATAATTTTCGGTTTATGTTTAGGATTTAGGGTTTTTTTTGTTAATTTCTCAGTTTTTGCTTTCCTTGTAACAAAAAAAACTAAATCGAGATAATTGAGATAGCCTTCATTACCTTGACTAAGTAGAAATTTAGCTAACTATTGATACAAGAGAGATATGAAGGGAATAGAATTATGAGATAATGGAACAGGACTTTCTGATTTGGAGAAATTCAATAAGTAAACTTGTTTCTGTTTGCCACATTCATTACCTTTTTGTTTTTGTTCAAGAGAGAAAGAGAAGGAGAGTTGAAATCAATAGCTGCCACAGATAGGTGGCCTCTGTTATTTCTATTTGATGTAATGAAGATCTGCTTCGGGAGGTTGTTCGCGTCTGCATGTGTTAATTCACTGTTGGCATGTAACATCTTTGATGTTCCTTTTGTCAAGAAACAGTCTTCAGTGGTTTGTTTCGTCAAAGGGCAACCCCTCGGCTATCTATTCTCTTCTCCATTGTTCACACTAAGTAGAAATTTAGCTAAATAGTTTCTTTCTTTATTTTAGATTCATCGCCTGGGTTTATATTATA